TTTTCCTAATACCTCAGTGCAGGCACTGTTTATAATCATACATGGATTGTATTCATATACTACATATTTCTTGTGAGCCCAGACTCTGGGCTCAGTGCTGGAGACAATGGTGAACAAAATCACTCTGAACAAAATCAATGGAAGCGACAGCTTTGTAAAGGAAAAGGGTGTATTCCCTGGGAGGTGCGCCCTAGTTAGCGGGGTCATGTGGAGATGAGATCCCAGCTGAAAAGTAAAGGATGAGAAAAAGTGAACCGGGTGATAAGTAGCAAAGAAAGCCAGCTGTGCAGAGGTCTCTCGGTCACAGGCAGCCAGCACAGCTGGAACACCTTGGAGCTGGCCGAATCAGCGCTGGGGGGGAGGGAAAGCTGGATGATGTCACGGAGACTAAGTATGCAGGGCTGTAAGCTTGTGCCATGTTGAGATCCTGGCGTTTACTGATGGACAATTGGAGGCTATTGTAAACCATTTCAGCATTTCAGGGCTTGAAGTATCCTACAGCTTTCTTTTTGTTCTTTACTTATTGACTTTCTTATTATTGACATAGCATTGACTCCCAATGTACATGATTCAGAGGTACAGGATCACCTCTCTTCAGATGTGTGTTACCACACCACACACACCACCCAGGTGCCACAGTCCTCTATCATAGTCAACTGCACCCCTCCCCCACTTTGCTGTCCAGCTTACACACACACACACACACACACACACACACACACACACTCCCCCAGAGCCTCAGTTAAGAGGTACAGGTAATAGTTGGGTGTGCTGCATTTTGTCTCTACTTGTCCGGGTTATCCTACAAGTTTATTTTGGTCCATCCCCTGAACACAGCACCAGTTCCAGTTCTCCTTTTAATTATCTAACGTCAGACTATGGATGCGATTACACTAAGCAATAAAGTCTTGAAGAATTCCCATTCCGGGATTAGTCAGTTTTATGCTTTTATTAGATCACACGTGCTTATTAGACAGCAATCCCCAATATGTGTTCTGTTAACTGCCCAAAACATTTCTCAGAGCTTCAGATTCTCAAATCTCCTTTGAAAATACAGTTACAGATACTGTGTGGTTTGGGGCTTGGGAACTGGAGTAAGACAGAAATAAAAACAAAACAAAATCAAAGACCACATTTGAAGATCATTTTCCTTGAGAAAGACAACAAAGACCTACCTGATAAAGAACCAAATCAGATGAAGAAAATTATTTCTCACTGACCTTCTGTCCAAATACAGAATCAGGCTAACCATGTGCCCTATGCCAGTTAGTGAGCAGCTGAGACACAGAATAAAGAATGCCCTGGGGCCCCTCTTGCAAGAGTTGATAACAAGAACTTTCTTCCTGTAAGTAAGTTATTATGTGAGGAAGCAAAGGCAAAAGGAACGTGCTAGATGTCATGAGAAAATCAAGCTCATCAATTTTAGGACCCTGGAGGACAAGGACTAGCATTCAAGGTCCACATTTAGAGACTCAGAAAAGAGACTCAGAAGATTACACAAAGATCACAAGATTTGGAGGGAAATACTCTGGGAACAGCTAACAGGCCAATCTTAGAAAAGGCATGAAAGTGTGAGAATCAGAGCAGGAACCACAAAAGACATCTGATCTACTTTTGTTTACTTCACAAAACTCAGAGAAAACTCCCAAGTGAGGACTGGTGACATTCAGAAGGAACTGAAGTGTCAAATGATTTTAGTAAGCAGCATCTTCAATACGGAGAACAAATTAGAAGTTGAGAGGCCACCTAGCTGATGGCTTCAGGGCCATAGCCATGCCTCCTCCTTCTGACACCTCCAGTGCCAGGCCCTGAATGCTAAGCAGAGCTCCAGGGGCTGCTGGAGGGCTTTCTCCATAAGACCTGTGTTTGACCTGTGACTAATTCGTTCTGAGTTAATGTCCCAGTCCAGGAGGTGCCCAGAAGAGACTGGACCATCGCAGGCGTGAAGTTCACTAAATCCAGATGCCAGCAGAGGGGGGCTGTCAGGGACATGGGACACCAAAAAATCCCACCTGTTAACCACCTGGAGTGAAGGCCAGTCACTAATAATTAACCGCCTTTGTTTAACTCAAACTCACTACATAACCTGTGATAGATGAGGTGTTAGAATGGTTTTCTTGGGAGCATGATGTTCAGCTGATCTCAGAGTGCTTGCTGGTCTAATTAAAGGTATATTAAAGATCCAAACCCTGTCCTTTGCTTTTTGGTTTCAACAACTGGCAGGCAGAAAAGAATCCGCTATTTTCCAGCAGCAAGCATATAGGACAACTATGGAACTTTGCTGCCCTCTATCCCAGGTAACAGTCTATGAACCTGGGCCCTCCCTGGTGGTGCAACGGGTTAAAGCACAGCACTGTGAAGCTATCTGCAGCCACTACAGCAGGAGTTCGATCCCTGGCCAGGGAGGTGACCC